TTTTTTTATATATTTATTTCAAATATTTTATATTGAAAAATTTACTTTAAAATTTTATATTTTTGTATGGCAACAATGTTCATTTGTACTGCTGTCATTTAATTGTATTTATAATATTTTGTAGAGGTCATCAAAGGTCAGTTAACATCTGTTTTTGCTGCCCAAACCAGCACAAACATAGCACAAACATTTGACACTAATTTTGTCTAATTTGAAGAAAGTGGGGGGGGGGGCTGGTTGACCTTTTGACCTTTACATTTTCATTAATATCTTCAAAGCCAAAGCAGCACAAACGACAATTTTTGCTGCACAAACCAGCACAAACAGAGCTGAGTTAATTGACACCCATTTTGTATGATTTGTGGGGGGGCTGGTTGACCTTTGATGACCTCTAGAAATATTTGTTTATATCTTTAAAATGATAGCAGCACAAACAAAACTTTTTGCTGCACAAACCAGCACAAATGTAGCACAAACATATAACACTAATTTTGTCTAATTTGAAGAAGGTGGGGGGGCAACTATACTCAGGTCAAGCAGCTTCATCCAATCAATACATAACCAACTGCAGTGAAAAGTGTTGAATGCATTGGCATACAGTATAGCACCCTGCCAATGGACTCTAGGGCAGAGGAGATTAAGTTTCTGGAGTGAGGAATCATGCTTCTCCATCTGGAAATCAGATGAACAAATCTGGGTTTGGCTGTTGCCAGGAGAACAGTACTCCTCTCACAGCAAAGTGTAAAGTTTGGGATATTTTGGTGTGTGGTTGTCTTTCAGCAACTGGGCTTGACTCCTTAGTTCCAGTTAAAGGAACTCTGAATGCTTCAGCATACCAAGACATTTTGAGGGATTATATGCTACAAACTTTGTGGTAAGAACAACGTAACTGCATCACTGCACAAAGCAAAGTCAATAAAGAAATTAATGGTAAATCTCATGTGGATTAACTTGACTGGGCTGCAAAGTCTTGACCTGTCCTAGAGAACTTTCGGATGAATTAGAAGAGAGATTGAAAGCAATGGTCAAACATTCTCATAAACCTGCTCCTAAGTCTTGTGGAAAGCCTACCTTGAAGCTGCTAAAGCTACAAAGGGTGAAACAACATCATGTTGAACCCCTATGGATTAGGCATGGAATGTCACCCAAACTCATATGTGAGTCAAGGCAGATGAACAAACACTTTTGGCAATATAGTGTGTAATCTGCTGGGTAATGGAGATAATGACTTAAAAAAAGCTCCACAAGCATTTATTTGTATAGCACAATTCAGTACAAAGACAATGCAAAGTGCTTTACATGATTAAAATATAGGAAAATAAAACAGAATCAAAGGAAGTAGGAAAATAATAATAATAAAAAAAATGCAGAAACAAAAAAGAATATTAATAAAAAAGTTTCAGTTGAACTTTTTAACTAGAACAGTCGCAGGCAATCCTAAACAAATGTGTTTTAAGTCTTATTTTAAAGGAACTTAGGCTTTCCGCACTTTTATAGTTTACAGGCATTTTGTTCCAGATAAGTGGAGCATAGGAACTAAATGCTGGTTTTCCATGTTTAGTTCCTTTTTCAAGGTATGCAGAGCAGGCTGGAGCCAGAAGACCTGAGTGTTCTGGAGGGTTTATACTGATAGCAAGTCTGTGATGTATTTAGGTGCTAGACCATTCAGGGATTTATAGACTAACAGAAGTATTTTAAAGTCTATTCTCTGAGATACAGGGAGCCAGTGTAAGGACTTTAGAACTGGGATGATGAGCTCTACTTTCTTAGTCTTAGTGAGGACACGGGCAGCAGCGTTCTGGATCAGCTACAGCTGTCTGATCCACTTTTAAGGCAGACCTGTGAAAACACCTTTGCAGTAATCAATTCGACTAAAAATAAATGCATGGATTAGTTTTTCCAGATCATGCTGAGACATTTACTTTTGTTTTTTATGTTTTATGTAAAAATAAGCTTACTTTACATTTACAGAAGCTTCACATTTGACATCTGATAATTATACACTAAATATCAATATCTATTTATGTATCTCTCGCTATCTCTCTCTTAAAAAATACAATGGTACCTTTATTAGCTAACAATCACACAGCATTATTATATCTAATTAAGTATTCAGACACTAAACAATAAACAGACACTAAACACTAGTGAAAAGAAACACAAAAATAAACAAATAAAAGGGAAAGAGGGGTTTAAAAGTCTGTTCAAGAATATCTGAGGAATATCTGACTTTTAAGTCGCATTGCATTTAGAGTGTCCATCAAAATAGGAGCAGAGGAATGTGAATAAACCCTGATGCATAGATGTTAAATGCAGTCAAAACAATGAAGTTTCATTCGGTTTTATTTTGAAAAATGAACAATGACTCAGGAATGCATTAAACATTGATGAGGCTGAAAGAGAATGGGTTTGCTTAGTTGGCTACAGGAAGTCTGGTCTGGGCGGGTCCAACTGAAACAAAGTGAAGTATAGAGCTTCACCATGGCCTCCGCGATGTGGCAGGCATGAGGTAGCTGGAAACGAACAATACTAATTAGTCTACTATAGCAGTGTCTTCAGACCAATGTTGCTCCTTCAGTTGTTCTAGGAGTATTAGCATTCAGTTAAAATAGGGTGACCAGACGTCCTCTTTTTCCCGGACATGTCCTACTTTTCATACCTATAAAAATGTCTGGGAGGAATTTCAAAATCGTCTGGGATTTCGGTCGACTACAGCACAACACGTAGTCGAAACACACCGGGCATTGGAACTGAGCCGTCAGCTCCAGGGCTGGAACCCCGGCAGACGGGGGCCAGCAAAGGTAACAGGTTGGGTTCAGCGTTTTCAGTCCGTGTTTTCTTTTCCTCTCTCACGCTGCTCTCCTGTCCCGCATCTCGGTGTAACATCATCGGATATGTCGCTTTGAGACATATGATCTGCGGTCCATTTCACTGCTTAAGCAGTCATGCCCAAAGTCGGTGCTCAAGGGCCGCTGTCCTGCAGGTTTTAGAGGTTTCCCTGCCTCAGCACAGCTGATTTCCAGTGATTGCTGATTAACAGGCTTTTGCTGAACTGCAATCATCAGAATAAGTAGGGAAACCTCTAAAACCTGCAGGACAGCGGCCCTTGAGCACCGACTTTGGGCATGCCTGGCTTAGAGAGTAGCTGCATAGTTGGAGAAGAGACACACAGCAACACTCAGTGAATTTTAACCAGCAGCTACTTCGATAGATGCTTATGTAAAAGTTAGGAGACGGGTTGGTTAAAATAATTAGAGATGCCACAGAAAAATCTGTTTGTTAGACATACAGAGCTTTTTCAGCTAAAAATGGCAACAGATTGTAAGTTTAAACCAGTTGGTAATATAATGCAAGAAGCTTGAGAAAACATAGTTTGTTCTTCTTTATTAGTTAAAAAAGGTTGACTTCCCAGAGGTCCATGACTCACTGTTACAGGTTAAAATCAACATGTTTTCTTATTGAACAGAAAGAATCAGACTACAGAGCTTCTACATATCTTGAAATGTTGTTTCTGGTATCATTATATTATTAAATAGGTTCATAAATCTTTTTTAAACAGCACAGAGAGAAGTAGGGAGAGCTACAGATCTGCAGATTTAAAGGTGAAACAGAATTACTGGGATATGCAACATGCACTAAAATATCTCCAAGTATATCAGAAAGTTTACAGGAAAAAATATGGTGTGCTACAGTATATTTAAAATGAAGCATATACATTTTTTTCTGGATTGAATCGAAATTGTACTTCTAGGGATGCATGATATATAACTTTTGGCATTGGAATCGGCTCTTATTTTTTTCATGCATTGATGTTTTTACGTAGGCCCTATCTTTGTAATGCACTAAAAGGCATCACCCTAACTACCTATACATATAAATATCAGTATATTATGGTTCTCTTGTGTTCTCAAAAATAGGAGAGCATTCAATAAATAGATATTTGAGCTCATTTTTGGAAAATTTGCCTAATGAATGTGTAACAGTTGGTCGATGAGCCACACGAGTGTCCTTACCAACTTTAATCAAATAGTTACTCCATTGCGGTTATGGTAGTCTGGACAGCGGCGGCCCTGTGCTTCTCCCCACCTGCTGGCTATTTGCCCCCATCCCCCTGGGTACCTGGAATAGCCCCCGGAGCTGACAGCTCGGTTCAAGTGCCCGGTCTGGCCCAGCAGGACCCCCTCCCAATAATCATTGTGTTGCTGTTGAGCTTTTAGATGTGATACCTTATCACTTTAACCTAACCACAATCACTCTATTAATGAAAAAAAATAAAATAAAAAAATCCAACACAAAGACAAGTTAGGTCATAAACCCTGTTTATTATCTGTAAAGCAGATTTGAACAAAGTGGTCCAATGTATTGCACTGTAACTTCCACAACAAAAGATTACAGCGAAAAGAATAGACAATTTACCTTCCTTATGGAAGGTAAAATACATTAAAAAAGCCATAAAAAACCAACAACTAATGCCTAATAGGTATGTTCATTGTTTTGAATGACTGACGTCACTTGTCAATAAGCTCTCAAACCACATAAAAAAAAAGATTGCCTGTTAGAAAGGAAAGTTTTTCAGCTACTTCAAATTGGGATATCCAAGCTTAAGTAATTTATAATAAAAAGAAAGAAAACTAAATTCACATAGAAATTTATTTCTGACTGAATGTTTGATGACAGTGGCCTCAGTATGTAAATCTAGATGACTTGAGGTTATTGAGAGCCATGATTTCCTGTATTGTATTTATTTATTTATTTTTTGTGCTGAACATACTTACGGAGGAACATAAGGAATTATAAAAACCTAAAATATAATTTTTATGATCTTATTGACAGAAAAGCTTTTCCATTATTTAAAATGGTCCAAATACAGACAATTTAAAGAGGGAAAAGAACAAAATTAAAAGAAATATGCTTGTTTTTTTCTCATTTACTGTCGGTAGACAAATATGAATTCATAAAAGCTCCATGTGATGTACTTCCAGATATTTCTCCAAAAGACTTCATTGAACAGGGCGGATCTTAAAGCTAATAGCCTTCAAGGAGTAGTTATAGCCCTTCCATGTGAACCACTCCACTCCAACAGCATAGATAGAACCATCAGCCCCCCAGCGATAAACCCCATTAGGGTTGCTGTGATGACAGTTGTTGTACCAGAATGCCCCCAAGGAGCCCCTGGCACAATTACCTGGAAAGGAGTCCTGATCTTTGTCAAATGTGCTAAACTTCTTTTCACTGTGGTAACTTAGAGAGTCTCCTGCAAGATAAATAAATTAAACACAAACAAAAACATCATCCTTCAAATAACCAAAGAACCATTTACGTTAAAAAGTATACAGAGTAGTCTTTTCTTACAAGTCTTTGTATTTAACCCTCCTTAGTATATGTCTGAAAATTAAACTAAATGTGATCAGCAGACTTGTAAAGTAAGCAAATTATGGGGAGTGTTTAAAGATAATTAAAAATGCAGTTGTTCTATAACTGATCTTAGTCGTTTGTTAAAAAAACTTTATTGAGTAACCAGCATCTTCATGGAGAGCAGTAGGAATTGCTATCTTTAACAAACACTGGGAACCTGTTCACAGTTTATAAAAACTAGATACATGCCGATTGTAGCGACCATCAACCACCATTTAATCGCTTCTGTACCAGTACAGTCAGTATGTTAAAAGAAAGGATACCAGTTATCTGTCATGACAATATTTATGCCTACTGATACAGTAGTTATAGTTCCTAACTAGACCAATTCAAGTTCAAGAAACAATTAAAGCTAACTCATATCTGGCACTAGAGTGTTGTAAAAGACCAGAACAAACTTTGGTAGATAGATGCTAGGTGTTGCTCCCCAATCAGCTGTGTGCAGTAATAAACCTGAGTGCTATGTGTGCCTTATGAATCTGGCTCTCTGGGTTAGATAACTTGAGCTATTTATCAAAGAAGAATGTTAAAGCAATTCAGTCAGTGGATATGCAAATTTGCTAGAGACGGTCTTCAAAACACAGTCCATTAGCAGTGAAAGGTAGCTCTACAAAAAATAAAGACTCAAGAAGGCTTAACACAAATCCAAACTAAAGTTTTAGAAACTTATCTGTGTTAGAATGAAATAATCATAGTAAATCGCAACAATGCACAATCATCTTGTGTTGATTAAAGAACAAAGAAATAATGTGTCTTCCTTTATCTTAGCCAACTGGTACCCACCTGCCCCACCATCTCTGAATCCAGATACATGCAGAGTATATCCATCAGATTCCGGGCCAACCGAGAAAAAGGAGTAACGAGCATAAACTTTATTTCCTTCAAAGTCCTCCATGTCGACCAGGAGCTCATACTTTTTTCTGAGACTGAGGTGGAAGAGATTTTCAAGACCTTAAAACAGAAACAAAGAGAAACTGATCTGCCAGGCTGTTATTTTGATGTTTTGGTTGTTTTTGATCTCCATGACTTTATCAGTTCTAGGTCTCACCAAGCCAGTACTCTCCGGCAGCATTCCCAAAACCTGTCTTATATTGATCCCAGGGCCTGTAGAAGTTCACTGAGCCATCCATCCTCCTCTGTAACACCTGCAGGGAGGTAAAAGAAGTTACACACTGAACACTGCTGTGTTACAATACCTTCTGTAACACTGTGTTACAGAGGTATTGTTGCATTTAGATTTGTTTCGAACTGGAACCCTTTCAGATCTTTTAGATCTTGATCTAATTTCAGTTCCAATAATCTGATCCAGATTTTATTTTGAGAACAGATGAATTGAGAATGAGTGTTGATAGAAAAGCACACATAGCAGCTTAAAGCATCAGTTAAGATCAATTATTCTGAGGATGAGGAGAATCTGAACAGTATGGATACTCACAGTCCAACGTCCTTCCAAAGAGTCCATGTCACAGAACACCTGCAGAGACACAAACAGGAGGTTGGTTTTACTGTAGCTTTACTGCTGCTTCTATTGATTACAATTGAATTTGCAGCTCCTTGTAAAGCCAGAAATGGAATACCCTCCTTTGGGTCAGAAGCAATGCTGCTCGAACAGTTAAAAAAACCCAAAAACAAACAGGAATATTATCCAAGCTATATACTGTCATTAATGCAATTTCTTCAGTTTGTGCATAAAGAAAAAACTGCAGTGAAAATCCAGCTTCATCAAGAAATAGCTTTGTCCATAAGAGAACAACCGCTTACGTATAGTGAACACCTGAAAAATAGCTCCTGCTCATTCAAATAGCAGACTTTAGGTGGCTCTTTGGACCCTCCACAAGTGCTCTTAATAGTGGCTAAAATGATAAAAGAACCAACTACTGGCTTTGGATTTAGCCTATTAATAAATAGAACTCTTAGAAGCTTTAGTATTTTTTTAATAATATCTCAACTGAATTTTCAAAGCAGAATGAATAACAGAATATATAGATTTTTTTTAATCATCTTGGTTGTGTTTTATTTAAAAGTCATGTAATATTTATTTCTCAAACTACTTTAATTCAGTAGGGCTTGGGATAAAATGGCTCTTTAGATTAGAAAGGTTGCAGACCCCTGGTATAGATGGACTGCAATGTCGAGTACTGTAGATAAATGCCCACTGGTTGTATTGGTGTAAACACTGCTCTGCCACAGAGATCTGTTATTGTAATTTCGTACGAGTTATCTATGAGTGTGTGATTTCTATTTTTCCTAGATATGTTCTGGGGGTGGGGGCTATTTAGAGTGTAATTATTTTAGATGCATTCTGGTAGGATGGCATCTTATTATAACTGGTAATCTTATTTTCCCATTATTAGGTTATTGAAATATCAATCAAAGAATTCCCATATTATTTAGCTGAGGAAACTCAGATTCCATTCGGATATATTTTAGGAATTCTGAAATAAAGCCTTGATTTACTTTTAGGTCTGCTTTAGCTCACTCTACTGTTTGAAGATCCAATTTTCACCCAGCATAACTTGATGTTTAATTGAACTACTCTAGATTTCCAAAGACTGCAAGTCTCCAGTGCCAGAAGGAAGAAAAGCAGCTCTAAAATATCACTTACCCACAGCTTTAGTGTAAGCACATATTTGTTTTATGCAAAATGCTTATTCTGTTTCACCATCTAAATCATAGCAGCAGGGGCTGCTTTCAGTTCAGGAGCTTTCAGTTTTTATCTTATGCTCTTCAACTGTTATTCCTCTACAGCACTTTGGTCAACCCAGGTTGTTTTAAATGTGCTTTATAAATAAAGTTTGAGTTGAGTTGAAGGGCGACACTTTTTTACATCAATCAGGTTATAATAGTCCGATATTAAATTGCTCAAATTTCTGGCATATTAAATTGTCTGCTCAAAGGAATGCCTTAAACTAAACTTAAATTTGAATGACAGGCTGAGCTTAGTTTGTTTTGTAAGCCTATGTAATAAAACACATCTCTCATTAAAATTTCCTGATGATATTCCTCTCAAAGAAAACATCATGAACGTACCTCAACAGCAGAAGTGGCCCCAATAGGATAGATGGTGTAAACTCCACTAGCTCGGCTGTTATCATAGTTATAGATGTCACTGCAATCTAGAGGAAGCACAGGCGCACCGCTGGCCCAGAGAGGAAGCAGGACAAGAAAGAGAGACACCTGCAGCTGAACCACAGAAACATGTTATCTTTGAATAAAAAGATTATTTAAGCATGCTATTCAGTATTATATACTGTAAACTAAAATCAAATGGATCGTAAAAACAATACATTAGGAAAATAATAATAATTTAAAATTTTTCTCAAACTGCAAGACATTTTTATGAAATCTATTAATCATTTTCCTCAGTTTTAAAATGTGAAATGTGAAACTGCAGTTGTTTTTAACTAATGAAGAATTAAATAGTGCAAAGTAAACATAATTAAGGTCATAATACTAAACAATCAGTATTAATACTTATCCTAGGAAAAATGCTCAATGCATTTTAAATTCCATAGCACCATTTTTAAAGTCCAATTTATTTAGGCTTAAAAGTATAATACTGTTATGTTATTTACAATATGACAAATTTAACTACAATTTTCTGAATCAGGGCAAACCAGTTGGGATGGATGTTGGGTTTTAATCCAGAGAAATGTGAGTTTAAAAGATTAAAAGGAAAATGATCAACACAGAGACAGGGTTTTGTGATTGTGAACAATGGATAGTAAAGAAGAAGCTGAACAACCTTAGACATTTTCTACCCTGCTCACTGTCAAACAGAAATCCCATTCTTTAATAACCCAAAAGTACCCTTTCACACCTTGAATGCTTCATAATGTGCTTCTACCAACCCTCAACTCTATGGTAAAGAGGCAAGGACCCAGGATGACCCAGGAGACAGTTCCTATGATTAGGAAGACCCCCTCTCTTGTTTTAGTACCAAAGTTAACTAAGCCAAAAGTCCTAAATGACTATTGAAGGCTAACATTTCACACCACAACACCAAAATCCACATCCACTGTAACCGTTGTGCCCGCTCCATTCCAATCCACCTATGGAAAGCTAAGCTAAGGTTAAATACAGAGAGGGAATTTCATTGCTCTGTACTTGTGACAGTGTAATGACAATTAAAGCTGGAAAATAAAAAAACTTCCTTTCAGTCCATTTCGATTTCAATTACAATTCATGCTTATTCACACCCATTCCACTTTTAAGGTAAGTCTGAAATTTAGAAACCTAAGTTATTGTAGTTATAAAGCAAAAGTAAGTTGTTTCATATTGTCAATGATTTTCATTAAGTAATTTGAACCTAATATTTCAAATATAATCGAATAATAATAAATTGGTCTAACCGCATGAAAAATATCCTCACCCAATCAATCAAGAAAACACTGGTTAATGACTTTTCCCTAATTTACAATAAATTAAAACAAAATACATTTTAAGTTACTGGAACTCGAATTCCTTAATTGGAATGTGTAAGTAAATCCATTAACTAATTTAATTTTACCAGGCTAAAACCGATGTAGTGAAAATCCTTCAGCTGGGTAAACATATGCGGCAGTGATGTAAAAAAAAAAATGCCATTTAGATTATTGCATCAATATTTTATTTCTTCCAGGTTACAAGAGGTGATGCTAAACATTTTTTTTATTTCTACCGAAAGGAATCCCTAAATTGTATCCAAAGAAAATATTTCATTGCTTTCTGTTTATTTTTGAATAAAGAGCCAATTGAAAAGGCACATAGAAATATATATAGAAATATTTCTCTCTTTGTTCTTGTTTCTATCTATTCAAATATGATCAAAATGTTTCCTTTTATTGTCATTAAAACATTTTCTGTTTCCTTTGAATATTTCAAGATTTTAGTTAGCATATTCATTCAATTTAGGTCTGGATTGGCAATGTATTACAAGGCAATTATTTAGGGTTTCTCTGCAATGTCTTACATCAAAAACCTGTAAATATAAATCTACTTTGATCCCTGAGCAGTGGTAACAAATGGGTAAATTCTTAGAAATGAAGCCAAAATTGCCAAGGTAGAAAGAAGAGGGTTTTTGTTCTTTGCATTTTGGACTTGTGATATTTACAAGATTTTATTTGGCATCAAGCTATACTTCTTTCCTGCAAAATGATTTTGTTGATCTGCACCTCACTGCACCATAGGTAAAATGAGTGTACACATGAATTATTTTGGTTTCTTGTGTTGCCCAAATCACAGCCTGACCGCTTTCAGTGTGAGCCCAGTGTTGCTCGAGTTTCTAAAAAAAGATTGGGAGGAAGATCTTTTAGGTTTCAGGCACCACTCCTGTCGAACCAACCAGTGATTTTAGTCTGTGAGGGATACAATCTGTGAAAGACAAGGCTTAAAAGTTTATTTTACTGTAAGGGTGGCCAAAAATTATAATGATTATGACTTTATTTCTATAGACCTACCAAACATCTTAACATGTAAATCCTTGCTAATGTCTCCATTCAGGTCTCTTATCCCACCCTTGGGGGTTAAGATGATTGAATATTTTCTTTTTTCCCATATTAGTAATATGTTTGTTAAAATAAGAGACACTGTTTGCTTTATAAATTTTCATTTAAAATTAATATAATTAAAACCTTTTAGAAAAAGAAAAATTTTTTCTAGTTTTGTGACTAATTTAGAGTTATTGATTTTAAAATAACATTGTGTAAAACAAACAACCAAGAAATGCGAAGTGATGAACTCACCTTCATGATCTTAGCTGTCTTGCCGTAATAGTTGCACTTTAGAGATGAAAACTGTCAGCTTGAGTTTTTTCAGACTTCTGCTACAGCAGTCTAATGCCAGTCCTAAGGTTATCTGCTTTTATAAGTAAAAGATTAATAATTTACTAAAACTATTGCAAACACAATCTATATCACAAAAAGGAAATAAGGAAGCTCAGTGATAATCGCGAACAAGCTAGTGGCACTAGATAACTTGCCCTTTTGTCCTAGACAAGTGCACATTCTCTTCGAGTCTAAATTGTATTTATTCATCAATAGGATTTTGATATACTTTGTGTATCTGTGAAGATTCTCAGTCATCCAAGTCATGGTCAAGTTTGCAAGGTTCAATTGATGCAACTGGATGTGATGTTTTCTAGAAGATGTTTCCCCTCCTCAAACAGGCTACAGTACATCAGTTCAAACTACATAGAGGTGGGGAGCCCTGAGATTAAAATACTGTTGAGGGAACAAGAAATTAGGGGGAACACAAGGTTGCTCTGATCCCTTCTCCTGGATTAGTGATGGAGGTCACCTGGGAGGTTAATGGTCATTAGGGGGTTCTAATTGGTTATCATGGTGGTTTTGGTCACATGGCTCATAGAAGCTCACCTGGAAAAACCATCTCTCAACAGAAGAGGTTGTCTTAGATTTAACTTCATCTACTCACAAAGAACTGTACGATGATCTGAGAAATCCAGTTTGCAGGATGACTTCCTGCCGAGAGGCAAAAACAGAATATCAAGGTTGGTGGATGTTGTTGTGGACCCAAGTACAGAGTAAAGGAGGCAAAGATAGTTTTTGCAGTTTTAATGGTAAAGTGGATGGTACAAAAACAGAAATCCAGAAATAACGGGCTTGGAACTCAGGAACCACGCACTAAGGAGAAACACACATTATGAAATTAAAAATGAATGCAGTTTTTTATGTTTTTATGATGTTCTACTCATCCATATGAGTTTTGTGTCATTTGGAGCCAATCTAAATATATTCCGTTAGGTTATAGCCAAGTAACGTCTTCCTATGGGCAAATGACTTTAAGACACAAACGAAACTGTTCATAATTTACTATTTATGGTACACCAGCATTCATAACATGTAGGCGAATCACTGTCTCGCAGACATCCAAGGTTATATTTTTTATATTTATATTTTTTAAAACAAAGCGGAGTGTGTATGACGTCATCCGTGCTCCGGACTGCAGTTGTGACAGGCCACAGGCGGCTGTGCTCTACCCCTTATATTAATTCGGCTAGCTTCAATTCCATTTCGAGAGTGAGATCATCTGTGGTAACACTAGACATCATCCAGAGATGTGCGTAAAACTAGCAGCAGTACAACGGACAGGATGAATGAATGGTAGCCGGCGTGCGTGAGCAGCTGGCACAAAACAACATCAAAAATGTGTTTAGGGGTCTCAAGAACATCTCCAGCTTTGGGCAGGGGGACACCACCACTAGTACAGCAGACAGAGACACCTGGTTTGCAGATGAGTTAAAAAGGTTGTTCACAGGGTTTGACTCCCCTCACACTGGCCCCCTCCGTACCCTCAACTCCCCACACATGTCCAACCACCAGGCCACCAGAGACCTAGCCCCCCATCACAGCCACTCTCACAAACCCCCGACCCACTCAGACCCTCTGTCATGCCTCCCTTCCCCCCTCAGATCATGACAAGTTGAGCAATTTCAATCCTTTTCGAACAAGTAGAAAGGGATTTACTTGCCTGTCAATTTACAGTTACAGGCAAGGCAAGGCAAAATTATTTGCATAGCACAATTCAGTACAAAGACAATGCAAAGTGCTTTACATGATTAAAATATAGGAAAATAAAACAGAATCAAAGCAAGTAGGAAAAAATGCAGAAACAAAAAAGACAAAAAACAGTTGGACTAAAGAAAATAAAAATGTTGAACTAATGATGTTTCAGTTGAGCTGTTTAATTGGAACAGTCGAAGGCAATCCTAAACAAATGTGTTTTTAGTCTTGATTTAAAGGAAGTAAGGTTTTCCGCACTTTTACAGTTTTCTGGAAGTTTGTTCCAGATAAGTGGAGCATAGGAACTAAATGCTGCTTCTCCATGTTTAGTTCTGGTTCTAGGTGTGCAGAGCAGGCTGGAACCAGAATACCTGAGTGGGGTTGATACACTGATAGCAGTGATGTATTTAGGTGCTATGCCATTCAGAGATTTATAGACTATCACAAGAATTTCAAAGTCTATTCTCTGAGATACAGGGAGCCAGTGTAAGGACTTTAGAACTGGGGTGATGTGCTCTACTTTCTTAGTCTTAGTGAGGACACGGGCAGCAGCATTCTGGATCAGCTGCAGCTGTCTGATCCAATTTTTTAGGCAGACTTGTGAAAATGCTGTTGCAGTAATCAATCTGAATAAAAATAAAACACATGGATTAGTTTTTCCAGATCATGCTGAGACATTAGTCC